TTAAAAGAATAGTAGATTATTAAACTACTCAACAGCAACTGTTCCAATATAATATCCCATAAACACACCCTTGGCAAAGGCAAATTCAGCAAAACAGCTTATTTCACATGCAATTCTGGCAACAGAGAGAACTCCAGCTTTTAGCTGTAGCAAAGAGAGAGAAATGTAGCACCTTTCTCAATCAGCTTCCAAAAAAAAATCCAACAACCAATGAAAGCTAAACTAAAACCTTGATTCTGTGGGAGACTGACTCCACCCATTCATGCTGCTTCTGTTGTTCCAATGTTTTTTTTAAAAAAAAACAAGGCCTCACAAGCTGTTTACTTTGTTGGCCTGGAACAGGCCACTTTACACCTCTGTTTCAATCTCTTTTCTTAAAAAAGAGACCAGGACAGAATGCACCTCTTAAAGTCATAGTATCATCATGGATGGAAGTGGAAAGGCTAAATTGCACTCTGTCTGCCATTGATCAGAAGGTCTGGGCTATTACAACATATATTTCTGATACCCTACTGATTTTGACCTGTGAATGATCTATTCAATTATTCCAATTTACTTGCTCTTTCCCCCATATCACTTCACTTTTAAGTATCTTCAAGCTGCCTGATGCTGAGATAGCTGACCTTCAACAAACACAACCATCTTCCTATATATCAGGTATGACTCCAACAAGCTGAAGTTTGCAAGAAAGGCTTCTATTTGTAAAGCAAATATCCCCATGCCTTTGTCTTTTGTCACAAATTGAGAAGTTTGTTACACGTTCTAAGATTTGTGTATAGAGGCCCTTTGAAAGTATACCATTGAACTTCGATTCATTCTGCTCTCTTTTCCTAACAAAATGAATCTCTTCCACATTTGTCTGCATTAATATTCAGTTACCATTTGTCTGCTGACTTTCCCAATCGGCCTGTGTTCTCTTGAAGCCTTGTACTATCTTCTACATTGTTTATCATATTTATGAGCTTTATGTCAGCTGCAAACTTTCAAATCATGCCTTGGATAACCAAATTCAGGTCAATAATACATTTTCAAAAATAACAGTAGTGCTAATGCTGACCTGTGGGAAATGGAACAGCAAATCTCGCTCCAGTCTAAAATAACCACTTGCTGTCAATGGCTCTGCTTTATCTAACATGAATATTGAATCATTTTGATTCCCATTCTAAACAGAATGCAAATAATATATTAGAAAAAAGCACCATCACCACAGAAGAATATTTGAGTTCACTTTGATACAGCTGTTGCCAAACCAGTGGTTGGTGTTAAGCAGGCAGCTGAGTCAAGAGTTAAGCCATTTAATTCAAATTATGTGATTTGTTTGACTGTTAAATCTTTCTAAATTTATAATTTTAAGGTCACATGGTCCTGATCACCTTTTTATTGACATCATTTTCAATAGTCATTTCCTAAAGTCAATGAATATGTTGGAAACTGTTAATAAAGAAATGTGATCAAACAGATAATTTGAGTAAACGGTGAAAAAATTAAACCAGAACTATTGTTAGAGTGTTCTTTTTTAATATAATGGTAGTTGCATATGCATTCTAAGAACAAAGAAAATTACAGCACAGGAACAGGCCCTTTAGCCCTCTAAGCCTGCGCCGATCAAGATCCTCTATCTAAACCTGTCGCCTATTTTCCAAGGATCTGTATCCCTCTGCTCCCTGCCCATTCATGTATCTGTCTAAATACATCTTAAATGACGCTATCGTGCCCGCCTCTACCACCTCCGCTGGCAACGCGTTCCAGGCACCCACCACCCTCTGCGTAAAGAACTTTCCACGCATATCTCCCTTAAACTTTTCCCCTCTCACCTTGAAATCGTGACCCCTAGTAATTGAGTCCCCCACTCTGGGAAAAAGCTTCTTCCTATCCACCCTGTCTATACCTGTCATGATTTTGTAAACCTCAATCAGGTCCCCCCTCAACCTCCATCTTTCTAATGTAAATAATCCTAATCTACTCAACCTCTCTTCATAGCTAGCGCCCTCCATACAAGGCAACATCCTGGTGAACCTCCTCTGCACCCTCTCCAAAGCATCTCTTCATTAACTGCACAAAGCTCTGCTACTAGTATAAACATATTGGACCAAATGTTCTGAGAAGTGACAATCCTAATTAGATTGCTTCTCCACGCCTTTTCTGCCCAGCGACATAGTGCTGCATTTGTGGCCAGGTCATTCCATTCCAGCTCTATCAGAAATGCAAAAATACATGAATTCCAAATGTGCTGGATCATTTAAGGGAAGCCGAGCCACACCAGCTTCTTTTTCGGTGGTCACCAGGAGAAGATTTAACCAACTGTTAAATATGTTAGAATGGGTCAACATATCGGCACATAAATCGTTACAGTGGGTTTGTTGGGTCTGTTCGTTGGGTGAAGTATGTTGGTGCAGGAGGGTTTGTCAAGTGGAATTGCCAGGGTGAGTTGTATGTCAGGTTCAGAGCAGGAGTTGAAATGTTCCGTAAGAGTGCCTGGAGAGGTTACTTGTAGAGTAACCTATAGACTGAGACTTTCCTGCCTAAAATTTCCTGGTTAACAATCCAGATAAGATTGTCCAAACTGTTCTGAGAACCTAACCCCAACTCAGAGTGGGATATATTTTTGGAGTGTCCGAGGAAACAGAAATTGCCCATTGGAAGTATAAGATTCCCTTCTATTTGTATGGAGTCAATGTGATTGGAGTTCTGTGAGACTGCAAAACACATCTTGGGTTATACATCCAGTTTCTGATTAGTTGGAGGTTTGAAGCTTTGGCCATTATACCAGTATTGTTTTCTCACTTCTCTTATCATCTAATGACCAATTTTAGTTAAAATTCAAATCAGTATAGTGTATCGTTATTGTGCTACCTTCTGAAGACATGGAGAACAAACAGCACAATCACTAGCTGAAATAAACTTCAGATTTTCTTTTTGCTCTATTCTTCAGTATGCTGTGAACTTCAATACACGTAGCCAAATGTAAATTCTTCCTTTGGACTCACATCCCACAGTAGTCTAAAATGAGAAACTGAAAATTTCTACAATAAACTAAATGGGGAAAACACAATGGTCACAATGTGTTCTTAGAATAAAGTACTGGGCGATAATTCAAGCAAACGCACCTGTGGTAGAAAAGCAAAACCAAACAGGGAGATAAAATTATTAGCCTGGACTTTTAAGGCTTGGCACTCACTCGGATTACCACTCTGTTTTCCTTTTTTACAAAGGGAGACAGGTCAAACGTTTTGACAGGAGATTCCAATCGTGGCTTCTTCAGAAATGTAGAGCCATACTTCTATTCTGGCAATTTACTCAGAGTGCAGAACTATCAAAGGAAAGCAAAGTACACGCCTCTGTCACAGCAGTCAGCTGCTGTCTTCTGGAATTTGAAGGTTCAGAATCACAACCTTGTGGCAACATTCAAAACTTAGGGTGTCCTGGTTGAATCAGGGGACAGTCATAGCTAAAGCAGTTAGTCTTGTATGGGGGGAATGACTGATGAAGTGGGGTCAATGGGATGCTTGGAGTAAAACATGAGCTGCTAAAACTTGAGAGGAGCTTGTCTGTGAGTTAGAGGGTCATATGAAGACCTAAATAAGAGGAGTTAAGATCTTGAAAAGACAGCCATATGACAATGAGAGGAAGGAAGAATGATACCAGAGGAAAGATCCCTTAAAGGATGATGAAACTGGTCAAGTGACCATTTTATCAATGTATAAATTGACTGTTCAAATATTGCGTTGGAAGAACTCATTTGATCATTCTTCAGTGTAGGAGTTATTCTTGTAGGCCTGTAGCTAATAAAGGACCCATGCTGGGGCAACAATTATTTAAAAATTATGTTAATGACTTGGATGAGGAAAGTGAATGTACTGTAGCCAGATTTTCAAATGACCTAAAAACAGATGAAAAGGCAAGTAGTGAAGATGGCATAAAGAGTCTACAGAAATACATAAACTTGTTAAGCAAGTGGGGAAACACTCAGCAAAGGGAATATTAACAGGGAAACTGTGAGGTTATGCACTTTGGTGGAAAGAAGAGGAGGATCTGAGTGTCACTTAAGATGAAAAATACTCCCACAAGCTATAACAGAGGGATTTGTGAGGTCTTGAGCATAAATCAGAAAAAAAACAAGCAGCTTGATTCAGTGGCTAAGAGAGAAGGAAAGTGAAATATTAGCCTTTATTTGTAAGGGAAAGGAGTATAAAAATAACAAAGTCTTGATAAAACTGTACAAGGCACTAGGCAGACCACAGCTGAAATAATGTGAACAGTTCTGGTCCCTTTACCTAAGGGAAGATGTGTCAGCAATGGAGATGCTCCAGAGAAACTTTATTAGGTTGATCCTGTATGTGGAGGGATTGTCTTGTGAGAAGCAGTTGAGTAGGTTGGCCCTATACTCATTGAGGTTTAGAAGAATGAGACATATTGAAACATACAGGAATCTTGGAGGACTTGACAGGGTAAATACAGAAAGGTTATTTCCCCTTGTGTGATAGTTTAGGACCAGATGCCATAATCTCAAAGTAATGATGTGGAGGTGCTGGTATTGGACTGATGTGGACAAAGTCAGAAGTCACACGACACCAGGTTATAGTCCAACAAGTTTGCTTGAAATCACAAGCTTTTTGAGCACTGCCCCTTCATCAGGTAAAGTGTCTGACTTGTGATTTTCGAATAAACCTGTTGGAATATAATCTGGTGTCATGTGACTTCCTGACCTCAAAGTAAATGGTTGCCCACTTACGATGGATGAGGAGGAATAGGGTAGTGAATCTATGGAATGTTTCTTACCATAGAGCCAGGGTTCATTGAGTATATTCCAACCTAAGGTACTAAGTATTTTAATCAGTAAGGGAACCAAGGCTTATGGGGTGCAAAGGCAAGAAAGTTTTTAGTTGAGGATTATCAGTACAGATATGAATTCTTTGAATGGTTAGAACAGATTTGATGGTCTGAATGGCCTATTTCTGCTCCTATGACTTACAGTCTTAATGGTCTTTTCTGCCAATTAGACTATATGCTCGTGGAAAATCCAGGTGCAAAATCCAGAACAATCATGGACAGAGTGGAGGAAAGAAACACTACCAAGATCATAGAAAGAAGAAGAAATGTCCATGTAGAAAGCAGTATTGTCACAGCAAGGAGCTGAATCATCTTGCACAGAAGTGTACGACTTTAAGGAAGTGCAATAAACAGTTACAGACTTCCACCCAAGAGATATCAGCTCAAGATTATGATGAACCATTCTACTCGACACAACAGTTTAGTGCAGTAAACTTGATATATGATACGTGGTTTGTAACTGTTGGAATACTGATTGTAGAAGAACAGCAGGGAAATATACAGTCAGAAAATGGTGGCCTTTGTAATAGCCTGACCTTCAAAGACCTGTGAAAAATACCTCAACAAAAAAATCCAACAATGAATCATTAAATGAGGCTGAGGCTATATGAGATACCATATCCCTGCTGAGAGGACAAATTATTCCATTTCATTGCAATGACATGAACAAATAACTGGAGTTCCAGGCCATAGACAATAATGAAAATACACGCAGCTCAGTCAGAGCTAATCGAAACATTTGGCTGGTAACCCTCAACAGACAAAAGATATTTGCAACCTTTGCAGTACCTGTTGACCATTAAACAGATCCTGAAGAAATACAATTATGGGTTGCATCTTTTGTTTTTTGGCTAAGTCCAAGTTGCATCTCGTTTTTTTTTTTGAGAGAGAGAGAGAGAGAGATTTCCACTACAATGCCTCAAACTTTCCCACCATATTTACCACCTCCCATATTTTAACTACCTATGACTTCCTCATCCAACTCCAATTCCATCTTGCCATGCAGTGTTCCAAAAACAACTCTCCACTTCGCAGATATATGCCAAAAGACCACCATCACTTGTGCCATTGCCATCTTGGAAAGACTTCTGTAGCCAGGCAAGCAATGGCAATTCGGTGTTGCCCCTTACAACAATGTATGGCACAGCAGCTACCAAGCCATGCTTCTTGAAACACATTGACAACATGATAGAAAACTTCCTTACATGTAGAACTTCACTCTCACCCCAGTCACTGTTTATCCAACACTCCACACACATTACTTTTCTGTAGCTATATCCCATCTGAACACACTCTGATCAACAGTACCCTGTCCCCAATACCCACTGGAGAGGTTCAGATTGTCCATTTGTCCAGTAGGGGAACATCATACACAGGTAAACAATTGAACAAAAACAAGGATGAGGTTTCCGTCAGGGAAAGCAAGTGTGAATGCAAACAAAGCCAATAAAGGCTGAAATGGAGCCTGACAATGCAAAATATGACCAGTGTCTGAATGCTGCATCTAGGTCTCATTTATTGGAAGTGGGTGTCAATGAAATTCTGTTTGACTTCTCATACACAATGCAGTTGAGATCTTTCATGGACAGTGACAGCTTCCTCCTCTCCAATGTCCTCATTCTCCTCCTGTTTTCCCAGTTCCTTAGCATCTATCAAATTGCCTTTTTATGCCTGCTCTAGTCGTGCAGAACACAGCTTGCCAGGATGAAATGGCACACATTGTCCATATGGTACATGAGCCAGACCCCACCCAGATAGGTGTAAGCGGTGGGACTGCATCTTCAGCAGTCTTTCTTGAGGCATGGACGGTGTCATGCCCATGTTCTGCATCAGTCAAGGGGTTGCAGAAAGGTATCATGAGCCATGGTGGGTACCTTTGACCACTAATAATTAGCTGTGTAAAAGTACCTAGACACTCTTAACCATTGAGTATGTGAGAGTGGCCCAGGATGTAGGAGTCATGACAGCTGCCAGGGTAGTAAGCACACACCTCCAAGAAGCAGTAATAGTGATTACCAATTACCTGAACATTTAATAGAGTGGAACCCCTCATGTTATTAAATTTTACAATGTTGTGATACTGCCCTCACAGTGCCATGTTAGTCTTGGGGAATGAAATGATCCAGTGTGGCCATGCACAGATGGCATTGGGCACTGTCCTGATGCAGTTGTAGGTGCATGACTGAGTGATATGAAGCAGGTCTCCTGTCTTCCCTGGAAGGAGCCAATAGTTCAGAAGTTCAGAGCAGCCATCAACTTCACAGGCACCAGGAGAGGGTCATTTCCCATTCCTGCAGACTTCAGGCTCCAGCATCTGGCAAAGTTCTGTCACAGTCTCCCATGACATGTGAATCCTGGGTCAACACTGTGCCTCACTCATCCCCCCTGGAAATGGAATCTGGGTCTCCTCTGAAACCCATGCATCCTGGTGGTATATTGTAAATTGCCATGACTACATCTGGCCCTTAACTCTGTCACTCTGCATGCACAGCAAATGAATAATGGAATGATTGCAACTTTAACTTAGCTGGGGTTTGTAAGTGGCTGATTTGTGTATTTGTTGCTTCAATGTCATACCATCCAGCAAACGTGGATTCCTTGCTTTTGCCTGTCAAACTGATAGTTACTCTGCCCATTGTGGCTGATGTTCCAGTCAGTTTCCAGCTGCATTATGCATCTAGAGAATGAGAAGTGATGATAGGAACATGGCTCACGGCGGACATTTTCACCAGTGGGGCCCTGCCTGTTTACTCAGTACCTCGCCCAAAGCCTCCATATTCCCTTTTTGACATGGCAGTGCCCTGACAGGTCATTTTCATTTTATTAGCCTCAATATGGAGGCCCATCACATTGAATTTCATGTACAACTGCCCCTTGAGCCTTTAGTATTGTGTCTGATTGATGAACTCTGTGCTCCTCTGTTTTCCCTGTGGAGGCCATTATGGTAGTCACTACTACTAGTTCCTCTTCCATAACCTACCGCACCCTTTAATGCTGTTCCTCATATGTCCCACCCTCCTCAGTCAATGGATGGGATTCAATGCTGTAATCACCCCAGATGACTGGCACCTAGTCATGATCAACCAAACCCTCGACCGTTGACTTTGAAACTCCCTGACTGATGCGCGATTCTCCTGAATGCTTGTGATGGTCTTATAGGGTTGACTATGCCCCATCCCTCACACTGTATTGGGACAGGTTTACTGAATGTGAACATCCCAAGCAGCCAAATGACCTTGGCCAAGTCCCCTCGACTGAGTGCGTGCAGGCTGTGCCCATAACCAAGAGTAGCACACCCTTCCTCACATTCCCACCCACCCCCAACTTAATTGCACTGAGCTCTTCCCCCAACACCCAATCCCTTCATCAGTTTCCAACATGTCCATTTCTGGCACATGCTTTACGTCTTTGACATCCGTGTTATCTTTTCTGACTTTTCACAGACACACAGAATCTTAACAGTAGTGATGAACTTTCGCTCTGGCTCAGTTTAGTAATTTAACTTTGGAAAAATCCAGTTAAAGAACTGTGGGCTGAAATTTTCCAGCTTCTGAGTTGGCCAACAATGAGTCAACTGGGAAAATATGGCAAGATCGGAAAAATGAGATTCTAATGTTAAACAAAGAAAGCTTGATTTTTGCACCTAAATTTTGAACAGTGAACAAAAAATCTTGCTAGAGAGTGAGAGAGCTACTTGCATGTATTTACATCTCCAAAGATGTAGTGCCCCATTCTCCCACACAGGATAGAAACTAGAGGGTGACTGTTCTCAACCTGAAAGTCAGAGCTTGTTGTTTGCTCCTCTGGGCTTCCAGCTTGGACAGCTGTCCTCTATTATGTACCCTCTGTAGCCACCTTCATGACTTTGAACACTTCTATCAGATCTCCTCCTAACCTTCTCTCCAAGGAAAACAGTCCTAACCCCTCCAATTCATCCTCTACTGCAGATCTCCTGCTTGGCAATAATATTGTAAATTTCTTCTGCACTGTCCCCAGTGTGTTCACATCATTCCTGTACAGTGGTGCACAGGACTGTACGCAACACTTTCATTAATGTTTAACAAGTGTCTTCTACCAATTGTTTGCTTTGATCCTTAATGTCCCTTTTTAATAAATCCTAAGGTACTGTAAGTTTTATTAACCTCTCTCTGCAATGGTCCTGCCAGCTTCACTTCTTGTACAACTTGACCTGGTGCATGACTGAGCTTTAATTTCAGAACTAGTAATCTTAAGATTACCGTTGGTGAGTGCAGAAATGCAGAACAGGGCATTGTGAATTTATGGGGCATGCCAATTTGGGTGAGCAACAGACAATGGAACAAGGTAACTCACTACAGTTAATGGAATGAAACCTGCCATGAGACTCCCTGAAATTGACATTTAGTCAATTTTTGGTAAATTTCAAGACTGCGGTCCAAAACAATTCCAGAAACTGAAATCTCTAAAGATATTTGAAAATCAAACTACAAATAATCCTAAATTTAAAACTCAACAAAAGTCAGCGCAGGTGTAAATCCCAGAGGAATGTCACAATATAGTTTTTTTTTAATTAGAGACATACAGCACAGAAACAGACCCTTCAGTCTTTCTCATTCATGCCTACCACGTTTTCCAACTAAACTAGTCCCATTTGCCTGCATTTGGCTCATATCCCTCCAGACCTCTCCTATTCATCTACCTGTCCAAATGTCTTGAAGTGTTGTAACTGTACCAGCATCTACCACCTCCTCGGGGAGTTCATTCCACATTTGGATCACCCTCTGTGTGGGGGGGAGAAAAGTTTCCCCTCAATCTCTCTTAAGTATTTCTTCATGCATCTTAAAAATATGCACCCTAGTTTTGAACTCCTCTATCCTTGGGAAAAGACTTTTGCTGCTAACCTTATCTAGGCCTCTTTTTTGATTTTATAAACCTCTATAAGGTCACCCCTCAACTTTCTATGCTCCAGTGAAAAATGTCCCAGCCTATCTATCCTCTCAAACCCTCCAGTCCTGCAGTGGCTACAAGGGAAACGAACTGAGAGAGAAAATGAGATAGAAACTCTGCTCAGTCTGTTTGTTTCTACTGCATCAGGAGTCCATTCTTGCATGGTGCCTCTTGTAATCCATGTTACTGCTGAATACCATTGACCCAGACAGTTGCGATGAGCATCAGTGACCTGTAAGTTGGAAACATTGCTACATTGTTAATTGAAAGAGAGATCATGAAGAAAAAGCTGACAGATGATTGCACAGAAGATGATGGGGTCTCTGAAATGTCATCCATCCTCAATGGAGTTTTCACCTTGGGTTATCTATTCCTGATGGGTCTGGTACATGTTACTTGGAAATGCTTGCTGGGTACTGACAGTAAGACAACAAATGTGTTTTTACTCAATTACTTTAAATGCTACAGGAACGGCAACCCATAAAATTGTCAGGACAAAGCCAGCTGATCTAGTAAGCCTACCTGACACAATGATTGCTAAATCATCACGACTAAACACTGCTCTCACCCCTGTCCTGCCCTCTTCAACTTAAAAGCCACAGTATGGCCATTTCTTTTCTTTTTGGGTGTGGAAAACTTAAAAAGAAAAGCTAATGAGGAAAAAAAATTCGTAAAGTTTCTCACCAGCATATCTCAAATGATCAAATCAGTCCACAAGATGGTATGGATTAAGTATTGGCATTAAAGGCGTTTACATTGGATATGATGGAATCTCTACCCAAATCAGGAAAATGCCAATTCCCCCCAAGAAACTGCCAACTAAGGAAAACCGAATCGGAAGCCATTGTACAGTGCATGGGCAGCAACGTTTCAAGAGATTTGCAAATCCCTGT